AATTCATAAGGGAAAACTACTGTAGAAATTTGAGTTCTCTGTAGAAGTAAAATGTTACAGTACACTTAAAACACTTTTATGTAACTGCTGTAGCTTCTCAATGCCATTACATTACTTGGAATAAACTATTGTGTTGCAGGTGTAAAGCACTCTGACTTAAAGCAAATTGCAGAACACTTTCTAAATATCCGAAGTGGTGCTGGTATTTCTAGTGCAAAGGCTGTCTATCGAGGGGGTAAGTATGTTTCTTCTATCTGTTCTGAATGACTGATTATCTGTTTATTATAAATGTAGTAGTAGTCAAAGTTGCAACTGAAAAATACATAGTTGTACTAAATGCAATACATGGGAAGTGACAGTTCAGAGGCATCTCCCATCTAAATAAGCAGAGGATTATTCCCCACCATGGAAAGTTCTGGGATAAAACTGAACCCATATCTCCAACAAAGCTTTACCTGAAAGATCATTTATTCCATAAAGTGAAAAACAAGCTGGCATATGGTTCCTCTTGGCATTTTTGGGAAAATTCCCTTAAGAATAGATTAAGGACTGTCTAGCAGTGGTGGTAGGCTTTCTTTTTAGGGAAGATCTGTTAGAATGTCTTAAGTCTTCCATAAAAGACAAAGCAATGCTTAGCTCTTTCAGAGCAGTATCTTGTGCTAATACCAATAGCTATTCTTTAGTTGGGGTATCGGATCATTCTGTAAACAGATGGGGAAAAAAAATAAAGTTTCCAACATTTAATATTTGACTGGAATAACTTCAGTTTTATCAAACAGAATAAATATTACTATGAACAGAAGGTACGCTACTTTTCTGGACATTTGTTATCTGGAGACTCACTGAGTTTTATCATCTCTTACTATGTATGGTTTAGGGTCAGGTTCAAATAAGGCATAGTAAGGTACTTGGTTTTGTGCTTGCAAGGGAATTTTTGAATGTAAAGGACTTTTTAAAATGACCTACAGCCTAATAACAGCTTCTTGCTGTCTTCCTGAGTGGACATACAGTAACTTCACACCTTGGCTTCTCTCTCATGAAACTAACTCCTGGCTAGAAATGTTTCCTTTCTGTACCTCTGAACGTACAGTAGTTTCTAACTGAACACTGCATTACCTTTTATTCTGTTGTTGTATTTTTAGGAGAAATCAGAGAACAGAATGGTGATAGCCTTGTCCATGCTGCTATTGTAACAGAAGGAGCTGCTGTTGGAAGTGCAGAAGCAAATGCCTTCAGTGTTCTTCAGCATGTTTTAGGTGCTGGACCCCTTATCAAGAGGGGAAGCAATGTTACCAGCAAATTGGCCCAGGGTATTGCTAAAGCAACTACTCAGCCATTTGACGTAAGTTCAAAGGGTTTCTGTACTCTAAAATGCATACTATCCTTAGAGAGGTTACTACCTTCAGCTAGAATCTTCATTAGTTTTTTCTTGCACAAGTTACTTTCAGCGAAGGCCTTCCAATGTGATCTTTCCTCTGTACAGATGGAGTTTAGCTTCCTGAATTATGGTATTTTAGATCCTAACAGTAATTACTTCCCTATGCTTGATGCTGAGTTGTTCTGATACTTGAAACAGTTGATAAAATGTTTGTTTTGCAGGCTTCTGCATTTAATGTTAACTACTCTGATTCTGGGCTCTTTGGGATTTATACCATATCCCAGGCTGCAAATGCTGGGGAGGTGAGTTGCTGATTAGAATTTAAGTATTAGCAACATAACTTTCAAACTAGTGTTTTGATTTGAGATAGTGACTGATTCATCTAGAAAAAGTCAATTCATATGGTTTCTTGTATAAGAATGCTGCATGTTCAGTTAATGACTTAACTCTGTAAGCTGGGAATGAGACTTGCTTTCTGGGAAGTACAAATACCTAATACGAACTAGAGCTAGTAAAATACCTTGAATTGCTGACTGTAGTTTCTGATTTACATGTGTAAGCCTAAGCATATCATGAGGAATGTGCTGGCTCTCGAAGCTGGCAGAACTGAATACTCTCATGAAAAATGGTGAGACCATGTAAATTAATGTGGTGTTGCAATTTAAATCCACGCTGTTTTTTGTCTCTCACTTGGGCATTTATTACAGTGGCTTTAGTTTTGTTATAAAGCTGTTCAGAACTGAGTTCAGGAAGACAATCCCAACACTGTCACCTGCTCTCCCCTGAAGTTTCTAAGATGTCAGATAATAGAAATAACATGTTGACATTTAATGCAGGAAGAAGTCTTAAATGATTTCATTATCCTCAGGTCATTAAAGCTGCTTTGAACCAGATAAAGGCAGTTGCTCAGGGCAGCGTCACCGATGACGATGTCATAAAGGCAAAGTAAGTGAGTAAAGGACTGTCTTGCGTGTTGTAAAGAGAAGTTTCTTAACATGTAGCTACTTGTCAAACACTTAAACTATTCTGTACTGCAAAGCTTATCGTTGTCCTGTAATTATTTCCATGGGGAACTGCTCATTTTCCTGCCTGAAAATTGAAGCGTTGTCAATACTCTTCCCCCCCCCCCCCCCCCAAGCTACACTGATTCTCTGCTAGTGGTATTTCCTAATAAAAACTTGTTAGATAAGTTTTAATGTTTTCTGAAAACTGTTTCAATGTAAGAAATTAGCAAGTATCAGCAGATGCTGTCGTTTTAATCATACTCTGTAGTATTAAGATGTATTTAAATTAGAATCCTAAATTGCATTATTTAGGTAATTCCTTTTACAGTCACACTGTGGCAATTCCCCAAATGATTATAGTAAGCAATCTTCTGCATCTTCAAAGATTAGTAGTAATGAGGGTCTGCAAGTGTAAAGCACTGAATTAGTGATGTTACATCCAAGTGCTCGAAATATGTGCCCCTAGGAATATTTGAGATGGGGGGAAATTATTATTAGAGATGCAGTAACACCAACAAAGTTTTAGAGTTTCTAATTTATAGAGGGTTGTGCACATTAGTTGGTGCTTGATCTCCAAGTAGTGTTAAAATGCACTGAGCCTCTCAAACTGTAGTTGTGCAATACAACAATATAGTACAGATTCACTCAAGTAGAAATATTAAAAATACTGTCTGTTGCGTATATAAAATACTTACAAGACTCCACGTAAAGCTTGATTACACAAAACATGATAACCTAGACATGATTGGTTGAGCCTTAGTCACTAGTAGCTAAATGGTGAATTCTGGAACGGAGTTACAGTGCTGTGGCTTTTTTTTTTTGTTTGCCTTCTTGAATGGCTTCACATATTTTCTATTGCTTTTTTTCCCTTTAGTGACCAAAAAAAAAACCAAACCCAAAAAACAAATTCAAGGTCAGTGATATTTGCAGAGTGTTGCAATTCAGTCAAAAATACCAAGCTATTTCTATTGGAATAAACCATTTTCTGCCATTTTGATTTTTAAAAAAGAATAGAAGGACTAGCTTATAAAAATAAGATTTTCATATGTAGCAGTGAGACTGTGTGAAACAGCAAAAGCAGTATAAACTTGCTGTCTTTTTAACAGAACATGGAACTATTGCACAAGGAACCTAACCATTTACATACATTGCTGCTTTGTTGCTTACAACAAAATTGCTCTGCATACATCTGTCCTTGATGAGAAACTGAAATAAATTTTAAACCTAATTTTTAAACTTGATAGTTTGTCTAATTCCTGGAGTGCCTGCATTAGTTACTTCAAACAGAAACAAATTCTGAGCTAGACATCTTCTGACTGTGTGGGGTGGCTGATCATTCCAAGGCTGTAGGTGTTCACATACCCTGTCATTTTCATGCTTGGACTATTTGTGGTGCCTCTTTCCTAACTACAGAACCCTTCCATACTTGAAAAGGAAAACATTTCAAAACAGAGAGGAATCTTGAAAACTTAAAAAGCACCAGAAACTCATTGCACTTACGGGGGTGGTGGGGAACATAATAACAGGACTTACATGCTCACTCATCCTTAATGCTTTGTTTGATGGCAGAAACCAGCTGAAAGCCACCTATTTGATGTCAGTGGAGACCGCAGAAGGGTTACTGAATGAAATTGGCTCAGAGTCATTGGTTTCTGGCACACACACATCACCATCTGTTGTTGCTCAAAAAATGGACTCTGTAGCCACTGCTGATGTTGTGAATGTAAGTATGTGTTGGCATCTACAGGTGTTCCTTAATCACTGTGTAACATTGTTTTATACAAAACTGGTGCTCGTTTGTGTGTGTTTATAAACAGACCTATATACTGTCTTTAAAAAAAGCAACTCATTTACAAATCCCAGCTGGCTATCTTTATTAACAGAAGACCCTTTAATCCAATACACTGTAAAACTAGCGTAGCTGGGAGTATGTGAAATTCTCATCTATTTCACTTAAATTTACCAAAACTGCCAACTAGTATTCTTGGAAAACTTGTTATTAGTTCCAGTGCAGGCACTTCTGTGTCAAGGCTTTTAGGATTCCTGAGTCTAGAATATTTGGTGTGCTTAATAAAACAATTAGGCTTTCATTGATAAATTGACATAACTGCATTGCTATTCCAAATTACCTTCTTGCTTATACTTAAGCAAACTTCATACAGAAATCCATCAGAAGGAGAAATTCTAAGATAAAAAACTTGTTTTTTCACAGTCACCACTAATTTGTGTGGCAGTAGCAATTAGCAATAGCTTTAGCAGTAAGGAGAGATCCACTGTATCTTGTGGTGTAATAATTATTCTACGAATAACCATTTTCAAAGAGTTCATGCCTTATATCCAACTGTCATTCTGCCATTCCTGTTTAGATTATAAAGTGACAAGGAGCTAGATTAGAAGCAAGTAAGTTTAGACAGCAAAAGGAAAATTGTTTACTTGATGATGTACTATAGTAGTGTTGGGATTTGTTGTTTGTTTTAATAACTTGAGGCTGAGGCTATAAGCAGCAAGATAAATGCTGTTGTAGTGAATATTTCCTTATATCCATCTTTCTGATTTATTTTCAGGCTGCAAAGAAGTTTGTCAATGGGAAGAAATCAATGGCAGCTAGTGGGGATTTGGGAAAGACTCCTTTTCTTGATGAGCTGTAAAAACAAAACTGGGATGTGGATTCAAGATGGACCTGAGCTTTAAGTCACCTGTATTCTAAATAAATTACTACTAACATGTTATTTATTAATTCAGTTCTTTCAGAAAATTAATCTGGAGTAATTGTGGGCTTGCACTCATCAAATAAAGTGCTGAGTTCCTACATTTTGTGCTAAGGTTTTTTCCACTGAAAATGGTATCTAAACTGCTGATAAGTCTGGCTCTGTACACTGAATGTAAAACTACAGTGAGAAAATAAGGTGAATTTTAGTCAATGTAAAAAATAGAGATATCAGAAATTATCATTGTGATGCAGACAAATACTGTAATTGCCACTAGTTGTCCGTGTATTCAGGAGAAGTTCTTGATAACTGTCTGCACCATCCTTACATCAAGTAAATGAAGAAAATTACCTTCAAACAAAGATGAATATATTGGACCTTAGAGCTTGTAACTGCTACTTGTCTAGGACTAGCAGAGGTAGTGTTTCTGAATGTCTTCTCCACAAGTAGCATTGATAGGCAGCTTTGATGGTAGGGAAGGCATTGCTAAAACAGCTTTATATAGCTCATATATCATTTCGTATATCTTAGGACATTTAGGTTTTTTGGAAGTCTAGGCATGTACTAAAACAGGTAAGATACAACTTCAGAAATCTAGGTTTTGAAGAAGTCAAGTTTTGAGCTATTCTGAAACAAAGGCAAATTCTTCCAGATAGGATGTCTTTGATACATGAAAGGCAGGAAGAAGAGGAACTGGTCTCACTGTTTTCCATAGCCCAGTACGAGGGAGGTCTAACATCACTGGCATCAAACTTAGGATTGCACAATGCATCAACATCATTATGAAGTACAGCATCACAACCAGTGTCTGTGCCTACTCTAAGTGTCTGGCCTGTATTGGATATCTGCCAAATTTTGGATATTGATGGTAACTTATGAGTGAACTCACAACAGTATGACTGGGAAGATTTATACTGAAAAGTTTCCAAGTCTACATCCTCATCACTACTCGACCTGGTGGTGTCTTCATCCTCAGCATCTTCGCTTGTGCTGGAAATAGACAGCATGGTATTACTTTAACATGCAATAATTCCCATAGCTATTTAGTTAACTAATCATGGAGTCTTAAGGTTTTTGCGAATACTTGTTCTAAAGACAAGTTCATTAGTTCTGAAGCTCCTCTAATATCAAACATACTATTGTCCATAGTCCTTTGCACACAGTTTCCTTTGGACTCTAAAGTAATACCTAAGTTGTAATTCGGTCAATAGAAAAGCAAGCTATCTTTTTTCTGCTCCTTCAGAATAGCAAATGATTTATTTAAACAAGCTTACGAGGTTTAATCTCTTGGAAAGCCCCTTGCTGCGTGAGCTTCCTTTCTGCTGTTCTAGCCTAATTATCTCCTTTCAATGCTTCTGTTCCTTCCCCTACCTCTGAGGCTTCTTTTCTGTTACAAGTTTTCCTGAAGCACAAAGTTTTAACTGCCTTGTATCCCATCTAGATTAATTATACTTGCTATATGAGCCACCTTTAGGATTGAGAGCAATGTATTTTTAAAAGCTTCTGTATGCAGTGGCTCTCAGAAGAGTTTATTTTTCCTTAAGTTTAATTTTAAAAGTCATAATCATTAACCACTTGTCAGTAGTTAGACCGATTAAGAAACAGGTAAGCTTTTTACATGGTTGTAGCAAGACCTCCATCTTGATATCATCAGCTACTTGTAATTGTCTAGATCCTTGGCTATTACAATTGACATGGCCTCTTTGACTTCAGTGGCCATTATTGCCAGCCAGACTTTTTATGGTCTCTGTGGAGGTGGGAAGGGGCATGTCTAAAATTAATGTTTGTCCTGACCCTGTCTTCACTGTAACTAGAAAAGTAAACTTTTCTTTTGGTATTTGTTAATTTCAAATCACAGTTTTCTATTGCAGAAAAATAAATTAAAGTAAATTCTTAGACTAACGTTTTATCCTAAAATGAAAAAGCTATTACGCTATTTCTTGTTTCTTGCTATAATACTAAGCAAGGCGTGAAATTCTAGTTATGTACAATACTTATTTCTTACTCTGCTGTCATCACAGGAAGCTTTGCTTCAGGAATTAATTCAACCGCATTTTGCCAGCGTTGAGGTACTTCAACAAAATCTCTGTAAACTCTGATTTGTAGGGTAGTTCCTACAGGAATATTGTGCAGGAGTTGCCTAAGCTCTCTCAGAGTCCATCCTAAAACGTCAGCATATCCAATTTTTATTAGAACATCACCTGCCAAGGAAGAAAATTGGCAGCAATCAGTTTAAGAGACTTGTTTGGGTTTTTTTAATGTTCGTATTACAAAATATGTAGTCTTAACCACTTTCACATTTTTATGTAAAAGCATGTGTTTAGCAGTTCTTGTTCGTATTACAAAATATGTAGTCTTAACCACTTTCACATTTTTATGTAAAAGCATGTGTTTAGCAGCTCTTCAAACCAACTGGATGCAATTTTTTTTTTTGCTTCCTTTTTTAATGAAAGTTTTTTTTATCTCTGTTAAGAACTAACCTTTTCACAGCACTAAGGAAAGCTGCAGTTCACTTATTTACTTTGGGATTTTTCTGAGCAAACGTGCTGAACTTTAGATTGCCTATTCAGTGCTACCTTCCATTTCTGTGGGTTTTTTTAGGCAAGATAAAGGTACAACGGTGCATGCTCTAATCAGGGCCACTACTTGGGACCAGACAGACTCCAGCAAGGTTGAGCTGAGATTACATAGCTGCACTCCAAACAGTTCTGCTGGCATCTTTCCACTGCTTCACTGTACCCTTTCACAGCTGGAATACCCTGTCTATACATATCTGCTGCCCACCCTTGTAAGTCACCTTGCTGTTTTATCTGTTGGTATGGAGCCAAGCGTACCCCTTCCTCCACAGTGGTTAAGTTTATCTAGGTGGATGCTGGAGAATCCGTGTAACAGCCGTGCCACCTTATGTTTGTCTGGACCCCCGGAGGTTTCCAGGGTTTGACTGTCTTCAGTGGCTGGTGCCTGTCCCTCCGCTCTGAGAACAACCAACACGTGGACCCATTGCAAGACAAAGTCAAGCGAGGCCAGGGGAGAAGTAGGAGATGCCTACAAGAGCTGGTGCAGAATCTAACTGAGGAGTTCCAGCAGAAAGCAGTGGTGATGTGTGTGTGTGTGTTTGTTTTAAGGGATAAGGCTACAAATAATGTTCTTATTACCTGCTGCCAATGGAAAGCACTGAGCTGCAGTTTGCAAAAAGCAGTACTTCATCCAAGAACAACAGAGTACAGAAACCCCAGCACCTATATATACTATGGGGTATTACAAGATGGGCTTCGAGAGGTTGGGGGAATTGCAATTACTGTGTAAACCTGTAATTTTGGAGACTGCAAAAGGCAAGCAGAATCAATCTGCAGCAGACTACAGCTCTATCAGCAGCCTGGCAGAAACAGTTGCACAGAGGAGCAGTATCAGTAAACATTATGTACTGACAGAACAGCATAGGGGATTTAAACAAGCAGTACAGCTGTCTGCTGCCATATTAGGCAGAACAAGGAGCCTCTCTCCATCTGCTCTATTTTCTTCTTAACCCTTTTGGGTTAAAAATGCCTGTAGCAAAAATTTGCAGGCTTTAAAACTGTTTACCTGAATTACTGACTATGATTTTTTTTCATTCACTTTTTCTACTAACTGCTCCTACTCCATCACCGTAACACCTTCTCTCTACTCAAGCTTATCACAAGATACTGGTTCCACTGGGGTGCAAACAAGAGGCTGTGAAACAAGTACCAGGATAGCAGTTACCAAAAAAGCAACAGGAAACATTTTACCAAGTTTTATGTAAGTTCTTAGCCTCAAACAGAGAGGTAAATCACCCAGATTACGTGTTTCAAAATGCATAGACATAAATGTACTTATGTTTTAAAGTATCTGAAAGAGACTCTTGGCATTTAATAGATTCTTTCAGAATTCTGTTTTTTCTGCCTATACTGTGCTGATAACACTGTTGTGGCGTGTCAAAGCCATCTCTGAACTGCAGAAGTAGACAATTTCGCTCCTCTGCTCCAGCATCTAGAGTCTGAACCGCCCAGCTTTTCAGTTCACCTATCAGTTTTGTGTTTGCTATCATTCATTGGCCACTGAAGATTAATGTGGAGATAACCTCTTTCCCTGTGAAGGTGTTCTGAGGAAACACACGTACTAAGCAGCCCTGTTTCTTCTTGCTGGCGTGGAGAATAGGGCATGTGTATGTACACATGAGTTTGGTGAGTCTAACTAGGATTTTAAGACATTAGTGCCTCCTGCTACCTCTGTTAATTTCTACCTCCTCCCCGTTAAAAGTCAGCAGAATGGCACCAGCTCTTTCAAGCTATAAGCAGTAATAAAATTGTTCTTTTAGGTTCCAGTTTGAAACTGTACAGATAATACTCAGCTTACTTAACTGAAAAAATAAGTCCGTAAAGATAAAACCTAATTCACTGCAAGAAAAACTCCTAAGCAATGCATCATATTTTTCTCAAGCCTCATGCTCTGCACATTGGTATTAGTGCCAAAATAGGTGTGCTGCCTCTGGTATCATTAAGAGATGGAGCTTCTACAAAATACTATCTTTTCTGCAAAATTTTACAGCTTTGGTCTTAAATACAAAGTTTTTGTAAGTTCACTCTAAACGTGAATTGAACAAATTCAGCTGTTTGCTTTTTTTGTGTGTGTGGAATGTGCTGAGTTAGATCCAGGTGCTCCATGAAGCATGCTCAATTTGTTTCTTTTGGCTCCGAAAACTAAGATCAGCTACAAAGGGACAATGTTTGTTACCAGTCCTCAACCCCCTTTAAACTGTTCAATACTTGCTGCAGTAAATCAAACACATCACATGCCACAAATAATTTGGCTCTTGTAGCCTTTGTTGAAAATTCTTTTGGAGCTTGCCTTTTTCAAATTGTTGCAAATAGAACCACTTAGTTTCAGTGATTAATATGCTGTATTTTTTACCTTATGAATGTAAAAAAAACCAACCCAAAATAACCAAATCAGTATCATATATATGCTTTTGTATACCATATGGGTTTTTTAGGGAATGAATTAAAGCGATCAGCTCCTAAAATAATAATTTTAAAAAAAGTACTTGTTCAAATCCAAATCCACTTCTATTTTATGCTCAGGATTTTTCTGCTGATTTTTATACTTGGATCAAAAGTGCAAAGCCTTGTCTAAAAAGAGGTTAAGAACTTCACTCGATGGCTTTTATTGCATCAAACAAGTAGATCTTTCTTCCTAGTGCTTGGAATTCTAATTCTCTCTGAAAGGTGCGAGAAGAAAGGACTGCCCAAACTATAAAGGCAATGTTGGGAAAATTGTTCTAATTTAAAGACATGCATTTTCACTATACAGCCAGTAAATTTCTAAATTACTTCATTACGCTCAACTCTCAGCTTCATAGATTTCTACCTTAGAGACAATTTAATAAATGGTAATAACATAGCACACTATTGTCCCCAAACTGTAGTTCATGAGTCTAATGTAATTGGTCTAGGGACCCATATGAAGCAGTCAAATTTACAGAGCTTTCAATTACAAGCTTAATATAGGAGTCTGATGTTCCACAAGAAACTTTAATAACTAGTAATAGTCTGTTAGTGCTCATGTGGCACATTTCAGGTTTAAAGCATTTAGCAAATGAACACCTGCATGGATTCTTAGAGCACAGAGATTAGTCCATTGCCACTTTGTAACTATTCTGTATAATAAAGAGAAATAAAAAGCAAACAATAAGGCAAATTAATTTCAAGCCTTTGGGAAGTTTTGTGTTACTTGTAGAGTGAAATTACTTGAATAACAATGCACTGAACAAAGAATCATATTGTTCAAGTTCAGTTGCTATATAAAGGTAATAGTCAAACTATTTTTGGACAAACCTGCTGTTGAAAAGGGAATCTGTTTTTGCTGGAGAACAATATATAGACTTAAATCTTGGTCTGATTATGAAACAGTCACCCATATCAGCTATTTTAAGATCACAGGTATTTCGTTACAATGGAATGCTGGCACTGAGCTTTATACAGTTTGTGCTAGTTTTTTTGCTGTAATTTTAAATTGAGTTTCTTTTGATCTGTGTAAGTGTAAATAAATCAGAGACAGGCTCAAAGCATAAATGCAGAACGAGAATATTTTCAATGCTGTTAAATTTGAATACCACTGTTGTTTCTCTTTACCTGGTTTTAGCTTTCTATCGTTAGCTGCAGAGCTTTTCTCAACAAGGCTTGTTATCTGGAGATATGGCCCATTCTGTATGATTATGAGACCAAATCCTTGTTCACTCATCCTAATATTTGCCTTTAATGTTGCAATCAGTGTTTGCTGAGAGACATTTTCCCGTGCTGGCAATTGCCCTTCAAAAAGAGAAGAAAATTTTACTAGTTGAAAGTGTGATATCATTCTTCAATAAAATGTTTAAGGAGACATTTGAGCACGTGCTGTACCCATTTTTAATTGTCCATACAGTTAAGTCCCTCATCCTTAATTGCTTCTCTAGATAGGCATTGCCTGCTGAGTTGCTGCCAAAAAGCCCTAATAGCAATACTTGTAAAAAGTTAGCGTACTCCATAAACCAACTTTTTGCAAATAAATATACTGAAAGTAGTTTTTACTTAGAAACTTATTTCTTAAAAAGTCACACATTTTACCAAGAGAAAAAACAATACTGCTGTTAAGTATTCATTACAAATGGTGAGATATTTAGGGAAGGTAGAGAACAGGGTACAGAGTAACATAACAGAGGGGTTGTCAGCTGTTAAGGACTTCAAGAAAAGATTGAATTCCTATTAAAAATTGATTTTTCAAATGAATATTTATAGAGGAGATTAATTTCTAAATTTCTAGCAGATTGGTTTCACACCCTACTGCTGACATGAGGGAAGGGACTGTACTTGCCATATTTAGCACCTACAGAAATAAAATACTCTTGAGCATCCGCTATCCGTTAAAATGCATAATACAAGTAATACAATATAAATGACATTATCCCAGTGTCTCCACCAAGAAATATAGTAGGGTAATAAAGTAAATCCTCCATCTCTCAAGCCTGTTCTCATCAAGAGTCAGGAAAAGTTAAGACTGTCACACGAGCGCTTGAGACTCCTAAAACAAACTGTATTCTGTTAAAAATGACTTTTTTGTCTCTGTTTTAACATGTAATCTCTAAATGTAACTTCTGACAGTAGGGTAGCAATAACTTAACTGCTTGAGACCATCTCCAATGGTCTGGAATCACTTAGTGAAAATTCCCACCACTTTACCCCTCTTCTTTAAAATACAGAAACCTGGTCATGTTTCCAATGGCTTCAGTAAAGCTTTGGATCAGGCTCTGAATGACAGCACAGAATGTCTATAAAAGAATTAAGATTGAAAGTATAGAAATGTGAACATTTGATTTGTCAGTTTGTCTGCTGAACTGAAAAACAGAGAAAGAAGCAGGAATGGTTTGAATTTTTTTTTTCCTTCCCAATGAAAAATGCAGGATTTTTTTGATGTTAGTAGAATACTAAATTTCATTTGGATGAAATACTTAATTTACATGGTCATGCAAGAAAAGCAAAGGAAGACCCACTCTGGAACACACTTTCCTGTGTTGATAATTCTGAGAGGTTGGATGTCTGACCTGCTACTGTTTCTCTGGCTCAGGAATTTATGCAAAGTGGAAAAGGATCAGTAGAAGGGATTGAAACCTTTCCTATGCTGTTCTTGGTCACTTTTCAAGAAATGTGTGTTTCAATCTTTTTCAGCCAGAAGGGAAAACTGAATCCTAGTTTCCTACTTCCAGAATGAGTACTTAACTCCCAGGCCAATAAATGTAAACAGATGATATGAAGTAAGGCTACTTTATATTATTTTCTAGCCAAAATTATTCAGCAAATTCCATTAAAATTCATGCAGTTGCAGGTCAGCAAATGATCAGCAGTGAAACAACAAACAAAAAATGCTAATAACAAATCTGGCTAACTTTAATTAGAAGCCAGAATCCTGATTTTAAGCTGCTTCTTATTGCATGAAGTTATCTTGCTGGACACGAGAGATTTAAAACCATGAAAGCAGTGACTAATCCAAAGCCTACAAAACATTTAGGAGGAATGCCAAGATTCACACTTTTAGGTGAGACTCTTGTCTTTTTACTATACCTGATATCAGTCTATATAGTGTCCAAGGAAGGTGGATTTTTGTTTTGTTCTGTGCTACAGAAAGTTTAGACACTTGACAGAACCTACATTACAGTTCCCCTAACACTGTCCTGATTTTCTCCAAGGTCACCCTTCAATTCTGCAGTTTCTGCAGGCAGCAGCATAGGATCTCATCCAATCCTCTTCTGCTGAAGAAACATCCTTTTCCTCTTGCCATCTGCCTATGATTCCATTCCAAATACTCAACCTCAAGAGCAGGAATGCCTCTTGATACTAAGAAAATTTGAGGCACTGGGGGCTTTGTGAAGAATATAAACTGTCTGGTAGCACAAGGACTTAAAAAGTTTGAGATATTGAAATACAGGACTGGAAGAGTAGTGCTGAGGCAGCAGTGAGGAAATCGAAATGAACAGAGGAAGAAATGACCAAAAGAGATGGAAACTCACTCTTAGTTTCATCCCCAACCGCTGGTGAAGGCTGTGTATGTTCCATGGAGTCCAGAGGAAGAGCTTTTTCTATGGAGCCAAAACTCCTGGGCAGGTGTGTCCTAGGTGAGCCTCTTGGAAATGTGCTACTGCTCCATGATGGCCTGTGGAGGAAGAGTCTACCAGCAGGTGAGGAGGCAACAAGCCCCAGCAACTGCTCAGAACGCCGGAGCAGGCGGGTTCTGAGCTGCCCCAGCACCACACCAGTAACACGGGCATAGGGAAGTCTGGTGTTGGACAGAGGATGTGTCTAGTGCATTGTTTCAGTCCAAGAGGAGTAATTCAGTTTAGGCTGCTGCCCATCAACACCGCAGCTCTGTCTGAGGCCCCAAAGCTTTCTGGAGAACCTATAGCTGGCGGTGTCCTCCCACACGGCATCCTTAGGCAAGTACTCATCTCCTAATAAACCTGAGAAAGATTAAATAACTGACCACGCAGCCTGCAAGGTATGAAGAGTGGATTCTGTCACTTTCTGACTGCAGATTTGCCTGCATATGAAAAGCCAATGAAAACCGTATCTTCCCTTTGTGTACCCTCTCCACTCCTCCTTCCTTTATTCCCTGTGCCATGAAGCCGAGTTATTTGGAGACAAACTCATTTTGACGCAAACTTTTACATACTGATTGTATTAAAAGCTATTTAAATACCACTTAAAGCCAGTTTATAGGATAGTTGCAGATAATTCTTGGAAATAACTTCTTTTCAAGGCTGCTGGCTTCCCACTGTTAGTGCAATATAATTTTAAAATCTTTTAAATACATAATTGGTTGTCCCATTTCTTCCACGCACCAGTTGTTTCCTCTTTAAAGGGAACAATTTCAGCTGTTTTTCATCAAAAGTCTTACTATTTTCTCCACCCTTCAGAAAATCTGTCAAGAGTAGGCAATTTCAATAGAATCTAAGTACAGCTCTTGTCGTCCAAATAGTAAGTCCTACTGATTGCTGTTGAACGCTTTAAGATTACTTCACTAATATCTTCATTTTGTTTGTATAGTCTCCCATCTACATAAAAGACTTACATAAAAATAAACAGCACAGACAATAGCCCGCTTGGCTTCCCGAAATGTTCTGTATAGACCAGTTATGCTGCTCTGCAGAAAACAGGTGTGTGGTCACTGTTAGAAAGAAAAAAATATGCAAGCCATTAGATATTTTTCAAGTACCTGTAGATGTGAGGGCTGCTAGACTAATTAGTTCAGCATTCCCATGGCAGAGTGACAATATCGAAGGCACAGTGGCCAAAACCAGGCTGGTTTCCCACATTTGGTGCATTGTTCATTTACTGCCTCAGATTACCCCACGTTTCAATATAGCTGAATCTATGGAAAAGCATGTCATGAAAAATCGCTGTATTTGGGTGAGTTTTCTAGTCAAGATTAATTGGGTTTTCTTCCAAACACCAGCACAGACAGCAACACAACGTAGGGCTTTTGCGGTGCTCCACAGCCGTCTAACGTCTGGAGGAACCTCCATGAATCAGTCCTTCCACTTCCCCTGCTTTTACCACTGCTACAGAAGCAACTCTGCAATTTAAGCCAATGCCCAATATTTCAAAGGGAGAAAGAGTGACAGGGACTAGTAAAACACGAGATTTTTTTTTTTTTTGTGGTGAAGACAGACCTAGTGATGGTTCCTTGGCCCTCTTGACACAGTGCTGACCGAGTTGCTCGTTCCCGTCTCTCTGTGCGCGTTTCCCTCGGGAGATGGCAGGCCCTGACAGAGGGCGATGAGGAGGGGGCAGCCCCGCCTGCACCCAGCCTGAGGGCTCCGGGCCGGGACAGGGAGAAGAGAGGGATCTCCCTGTGCGTCGGTTGAAAAACACCTTTGGGATACGGATGCGTGAGGGCAGCGAAGGACCAGGCCCCGGGGCAGGTGCTGGGGCCCACCGAGGGCGAAGCTGAGGGGGCACGAGGAGGAGCCGAAGCCCCGCCGTACCGGCCGCCCCCCACAGGGGACGCGCCCTGCAGCGCG